GTTCTACTCAATTTTTAAAAATGCAAAAAGTATTTCATTTCTAAGTAATTTTGACTTGTTTTTATTCTATCTTTTCGTTGTTCTGGAAAAATAATGCTATAGCAGTGGTTCACAAACTTTTCAACCTTTGACCCATAAAATGCCATCAGCAAAGACCTGAGCCCCCAGCTGTTGTCGGTTGATAAACATGTTTTCACGTCAAATAAACAAGAGCATGGTAACATTATTTCTTACGCTATTTTTGTCCATTTGAAATACACTAATCTTATTATTTTGTAAATACAAAGGAAACAAATGTTCTTGTCATTTTTTGTGTAATTAATTAAAAAAATATTTTCAGGACCCCACCTTGATGTTTCAGGACCCCACTGTGGGTCCCGACCCCAATTTTGGGAACCACTGCGCTGGAACCCTATGTATTTTTGTGGTATAGTGCCTTGGTACAGTAGTGAATTGGTCATATATACAGTTTAAGCATTTAATTGATGTAAAACTTTTTAAAGTCCAGTTTAAGATAGTAACCACCTGATGCTTAAAACCATTTTAATAATAGTAATTATGATAACTTTTATTTTACAATAAGAATTCAACTTAAAACTCATTTGAGTCTGCAATTTGTATTCAAGCAAACGTGAAAGAATTATTAGATAAATGATAGGTGGGAGCAGAGGAAGCTAGTGAAGACCAAGCTAGTACAACAAGCTAGTACTGTTGCTAATTTGTATTCACAGAGGCTTACAGAGATTAACTAATAAAGCACTTCGGGAAACTGTGAACCCAGTTCAGTGTTAACCTAAACCTGATTAGTATTACAGAGAGAGAAGAGTTATTCAAGCAGACAACAAAAATCCTGTTTGAGTGCCGTGTTAATCTAACACATTGTACTGCAACATACTCTCTCTTTCAATGTTCAGGTTATTCTCTAATCCCTGTAAACAGCTGAATAGATTGTTGGGTGGATAAATGTGTTTTAGTGACTTATCTTCTAACCACTGCTGGTTTGGGTTGGAACGCTGTACAAGTAGAACCACAGAGGTATATTTGTTAAACATTGCTCACTGTCTTCCTCTTCCTAAGCTTTAGTTTTGGCAAATAGACAAAGAAAAGCATTGGATAAACATCCATATCCACGGTTGAGGCTACTGCGGTGAAAAAAAAAGCTTCTAGGTGGCAGGGCTTTGTGGGACAGACAAGATCCTCCCTGAGTTCCTAACAGCTTTGGATAATGCTAGGCTGTCTCAGGGGGCAGTGTCGCTGGAGTTCTGTTGACTTGGAGAAGGCATTTGACCATCTTTCCTGAAGTACCCTGTGGGGGGCACTGTATGAGTAATGGACTGAGGGGCCGTTGCAACAAGCAGTTCATTCCCAACTCAAATGATGTGAGTTTGGTTCACACCTCTTCAGGGTGGGAGCTGGAATGCACCAGTTTTGCCTGTTGTCACCAATTCTGTTCATAACTTTCATGGACAGACGTTCTTGCTGCAGCCCAGGGAATCTCGTTCGGTGGCCTCAGGATTCGATTTTTATCATTGGGAATGGGGAGAACTGAGGCACCTTTTGCAGTATTGTTGTGGTAAAGAGGGAGCTGAGCTGTAAGAGCAAGCTCTCTGCTTATTAGTCTGTTTACATCCCTACCCTCACCTATGGCTCTAACTCTGTGTAGGGTTGAAACTATTTTAACATTTAAGTAAGCCTTGGCTGAACTCTCAGCACATGCCCAGACAAACACGCCCCACCCCCAGAGTCAGACACTCATCTTGGCAGAGTTTTTTGATGTTAATGATAAGGTGGTGTTAATTGGTATAAAATTGTAGRATACAATCTAAATGTCTTTGGTGGAAAAAAAGGAGTTTCTGTGCTGCTTCTGTGTGCACATGGTCCCAATCACACTATTTACAGTAACTATTACTGTCTGATAATTATGGCCTCTGTTGGTGTCTGTACACCAACTGTGCATCTGTGCTGTTGAAAAGATAGCATCAGCTTCCCTGCCTGCAGGTACTAAATATGTTTGATACATAAAAACAAACACATTTACAGAACATTGTAGCATTGGTCTACTTGAAATGATACATTAGAGACACAAAGATCATCCCTGTAACAGTAGCTCTACCGTGAGTCTRTCCTGGAGAACTGAATGTCTCACACTATTTTTAATGYAGAGTTCAGCTACCCTGCAGTAAAAAACAACAGTTCAGTAACCTCTTTCCAAGATGTTCTTTTGGTCACTTTGGTCACTACCCAGAGTAAATACATACCCCAAACATTTGTATCTGCGTATCTGCAAAATTACATAATGGTATGATGGATTGCAAATAGTCTGTATTTGTTGATGAAAATGACATGGTGACTAATTAAGGACATTTCATGTTGAATTCTGAATCATGAATAATTCAGGATGCATAAAATAAATGTGGATCAGGCAAATATTGGTAATGAAGCCTTTGTGAAGGTGATTATGAGTTAATTCTGAAAAGGTGACTGGCTTGTGGGTCAGAATCTGCAGCTATTGAGTCCTCGTGTAGATATATACAGTATATACAGTATACATACGTATATATCGCTAACTGGGAAAAAAAAAAAAGAAAAAAAATCTTGTTTAATTCTGAGTCCACTGTTGTTTTGGTGAACTGAATGTGTTGTTGAAGACTCTTATTTTGAAGGATGAAAGAAATGTATATAAATTGTCATGATGGTTGTCAAGTGGAGCTACTCCATAAAAAAAATCTGGTCTCGTTTCCCACAAAGACAACTACATTTTTCATAAATTGCATTATAAAATCTCAGTCACCTACCTTTATCTGCTCTAGTAAAGGTAGCACCATGACTCCAATTCACCAACCCCCTGGTTCGCTTTCCTCTCATTTCTACTCAACTAAAGCGAATGTTTTTTGATTTTGTCATTTTTCAATTTAAAAAACAATCCACCAGCATCTATGTTCTGTTTGACCATCTCTCCCCTCCTTTGGACTTCCTCCTCCCTGTCAGTCATTTCCAGCTTCTGAATTGCTGACTTCATCCAAGTCCTCCACATGTCTACTTGATCCCCTCCTTACAGCACTGGTCAGATCTTCTCCTCATCATCCACTCTACTGTTATCCCAATTCTAAAAAAAAGAAAAGAAAAACTGAAAAAAAWTTTCACGTGACCTCCAATCTATCTTTCATCTCTAAAACATTTGGAAAAAAAACTGTTGCCACTGAACTCCACTCTCATTTAACTCAAAAATAACCTATGCAAACATTTTTGTTGTTGTTTTTGCCCCTGTCAAAGAATACAGCATCATATTAAAGGTCTTAAATCTTCCCAGGGTTTGTAACACTTCAACCACAAAAAGGTGTTGTTAAAATAATGTTTTATTTGAAAATCTTCAGAAAACAGGGSTTTGAGTTTGTTTGGGCAGGGAGCAGATTCCAAAGTCAGAGTTGTTCAAGAAATATTGAATTGTTGAAAAACGGAATATTTCTTGCAAATGTTTGTCTATACTTTATATTCCTGTATTTGAGATTTTGAGGAGGAGGAACCAATTTTATAGTTTCAGGGATGGGTAGGCAAGTGTAAACAAGGCAAAGCTGACTTGTTCTATGTTGGCAAAAGAGATTTCCAGGGATGAGATTCACTCGTGAGCAGACTTTCACAGAGCACAGATGATGTCATGCAACAGAGCTGACAAATCAGCAGGATAACAAACAGAACTGAAAACCAGGAGGAAGACAAGTTGATCTGCAGATAAATACAGAAACTATCAGGCGAGGCGGGGAAAACGGCACCTCACTAACACTGTGCTCAGTGAAGGTTGGGTGCTGTTGACCTCAACCAGTGATGTCATCAGGAGGTGAAAGGAATAATTCTCAGACCTTCTCAAACCTATGGRACATCTTCCATTGATGAAGCTGAGTCAGAGTCTTCCAGGTTGGTCTGTATATAACTGGGGCTGAGGTCTCTGAGGTAGTTCAAAAACTCCACGACAGCAGGACGAGAGCCACACTGATTTCCTTCAGGCTCTGGATATTGCTGGGCTATCATCGTTGACGCATCTTTGCAAAATTTGCAAGTGGACATGGGGACAGAGCCACCAGATTATCAGGGTCATGGTTTTCCCTTTTCAAAAAAGGAGACCTGAGGGTGTGTTTCAGTTATAGGAGCAACACTCTCCTTAGGCTTACTGGTAAAGTCCGTTTAGAGGTGCTGGAGAAGAGAGTCTGATCGATGATGGGGACCAATGTGGGTTCTGTCCTGGCTGGGGAACACTGGACCAGCTCTTTACCCTCACTAGGGTCCTAGATGTTTGGCAAACTCCCTCATGTGTATTYTGAATTTGAAAAAGGCATTTGAGTTTCTCAGTGCAGCCTGGGGGCAGAGAGAGTCCAGTTCAGTGGCCTCAGGTTTCCATCATTGCTATTTGCAGATGATGTGGTCCTGTTGGTGTCATCGTGTGGTGATCTTCAGCACCTCCAAATCTGAGTCCATGGTCCTCAGTCAGAAAAGAGTGGACTGTTCTCTCCAGGTTGGGGGTGAGGTTCTGCAGCTTCTGCAGGTTTGCAGACTGTACCAGTCTGTTTTAGTGAAGAGGGAGCTGAGCTGTAAAGCAAAGCTCCCAATTTACTGGCCAGTCTACGTTCCTACCTTCACCTATGGACGCAAACTTTAGGTAGTGYCTAAATCCATGTCAGGAGGTCTTAATGAGCTTTATTCACAGGGTAGCTGCACTCTCCATTAGAGATAAGGTGAGAGGTTCAGTTCTCCAGGAGAGACAGAATAGAGCTGCTGCTCCTCAATATTGAGAGTATTTCAAATTTACAGAAACAAGTGTCAACGTGAGCAAACAAGTAAATAAACAGAGTTGGAGACCAAATATAAAAAAGGTAAGTGGTGTATTGTTCAGGAACGGGACGGGATCTGAAAACAGAACGGTTGCATAGGTGAATATTTGATCTGATTTTCCAGAGGTATATTGCAAACAGGTAGGATGTTGTTGTCTTACTGGTGAAGGAGCGAGGTTTGGCGTGGAGGAGTTGGTTCAAATCCAGAGGTAAGTATTTACAGGTGAGTAGATATTTACAGGTTTGTTGGAGGTAAAAGGTAGGCACATGGAACTCAGGTGAGTGGCTCTTAACAAGTGGTCCTCATGCAGGCTCGGAAAGGTCAGTACTCCTTGGGACACTTCGGTCTGGAAACAGGTAAGATGAAGACATGAAGGTTACACAAACTCTGATGACTGAGGAAGTCCTTCCAGAAGAGGTTGTTATAGAAAGAGAGGTTTGGACCTTCCTGATCAAGCTGCTGCCCAACTTTGGTATAAGTGGAAGATAATGGATGGATTTCAGTTTTATTGTACAAATAGTAACTCCATGCAAACCACTCTGAAAAAAGCAAATATTTTGAAAGAAAAATTCAATAAATTTACAGTTTTTGACTAATGAATACCACAATAAAGAAAAGAACAGAAAAACCTGAGTCAGAGCAGAGCTGGAAATATTCCTTCTGATGATCAGTTTCTCCGCTCTCTGGCAGCAGCACAGTGCTCATAGTTTCCATCCACTGTCTGTGCATATGTGTGTGTGTGTGTGTGTGTGTGTGTGTGTGTGTGTGTGTGTGTGTGTGTGTGTGTGTGTGTG